GTGTGAGCAGTACGTGTGGCCAAGCAAGCACTCAGTGCTGCCCCCTACACCAGATTCATCCCACCCAAAACACCAATATCTGGCAGAAGTGGAAAGGAATACCTATGTGTCCAGATGCCAAACACACACACAGGCTCCTGTGGGGTGGATTCCATAGGAACTCCAAAGGAAGGACTGATCTCAGCAGTCAAAGGAGAGAAGATTTTCCAGAGGCTTTCCCATTCTGTACTAAAACACTTCTTCCATATTGGTTTGCCTGTTCATTGAACGTCCATCCCCTCCACCCCCCCCAAGAAAGGTTAAAGGAGTCAACAATAAGAGCTCAGTTTCCCTCAAAGATAAAAGCCAAATTAAAACACTGGATAATATTTCTTCTCCCGCAGCCCCTTGAAGCTGAGTATCTGGAAGCACTTTCCATTTAGTAAGAAATTAAGCCTTCAGAATATCCTTTTTTCTTCTTGCCCTCATGGGGAAACAGAAGGGCACTGACTTGCCCACAGTAATTCATCAGCAAAGCCAGGCATGCAAGAGTCCAGGCTCCCTGTCCTGTGCTCTTATAAGACCACAATTTCTTCTCCACACTTAAAAGGCGAGAGGAGCAATATGGGCAGGAAAACAAGGAGTGAGAAATCAAGCAGATGCTCTGCTCCCACTGCAGTCCTGCACAGAAACACACTGCTTGCTGAAATCCAGCTCCTGCCTCTTGAAGAGCCAGAGACACTTCAATGAGTCCCATTACACAGCCCTGGAGGGGGGACCCTTTGCTTCCCTTTATCTGTTTACACAGCATGTCAGGACCAATTAGTCTCATTCTCTGGGAACCAGCTCAGCAGCTCCAAGGAGCCTCTGTGGGATCTCAGCTTCCTTCTGCTTCAGCCAGTCCTTCAAAACACCAGGGAGCATTTCCCCACTATCCTCCCTACTCCTTGCCTCCTGCTCCTAGCACCATTGGGAGCTCCACACTCATCCCTAGAGGCCAGAAGTAGCCCCAACCTTTCTGAGACATGGGCACCCTCCTTAAATGATGTGTGGCTGACAGCTTGGCTTACATATAATGAGAGTGCTGCCCAAGGACAGTAATCAAAGAGCAGTTGAGAGAGGTTATGTACAAACACTGAAGCAGGACATTTCAATTTAATTAAGAGAAAAGTGGAGGGGAGTCAATGGGGAGGAATCTTCTGGGCTTTTCAGTCTGAGGGGTCATAAAGAAAAGAGCGTGTTGAACTCAGCATGTCCAGCTGAAATGGGCAGGGGAAACACTGTGACCACCAAGGCGGTTTTCCTAGTTGCACCCAGGGAAAACTGATCTCCTTTGGAGTTCCTATGGAATCCACCCCACAGGAGCTTGTTTGCTCCTGTGTAGCAAATGTGTAGCTCCTGGCAGCTGGACACATAGGTATTCCTTTCCACTTCTCCTGGATATTGGTGTTTTGGGTGGGATGAATCTGGTGTAAGGGGCAGCACTGAGTGCTTGCTTGGAACAGGGTAGTACCCGCTGAGTTAATTTATAGTTAACCTCCCACTTCCAGTTCCAATGGAAAGACCTTGGCTTTATGCCCACTTTATGGAAATGGGAGACTCCTCCCTAGCTAGCTCCTGGGGCCTTATGGCTAAGGGCAAGCGAAACCCAGGGGCATCCAAACCCCAAGCCTCCAAGCTTGGGCCTGGCACATAGGATGCCTGCCCAAGGATTTGGAAACATTTGAAGCCCCAGGTGAGGTGGAGGATGATTGCCAGTTGTAGGGCCACTTCCGGCTCTTGACTGACTCACAGATTTGGAATTGATGTGGCTGATTTGGCTTGGAACATGAAACATTTTCCAAAAAATAACGTCCAGCATCAAACAGAAAGAGGCTGCGAGACTGGTCAGCCACGATAGTGAAGAGGACTGCCCTTTGTTCAGACCCTACTGGGGCAAAATGCAGCGCTCCTACCTTGCACAGCCAAGCTGAGGGGTCCTTTCCATGCATCTCCCCAGAATTAATATTCTTAAAACTGCATCTGTTCAGTGTTGATCAAAGATTCTGGATTGACAAGCCAGGACAACAAAATCCTCTGTTCATCTGTAGACTGGGGGGGCAAGCAGAAAAGCAAGCTCCCCCACAGCATATATCTGGCCCCCATAATTGTAAGGCAGAGGCTCCACATCTCTAGAGAGGAGAGGATAATTCAGACTCCAAGTCCATCCAGTCATTTGACTAGTGAAGAGAACTGGCTTGGCTGAGATCCTTTGCACCCTGTCATCTGGACTGAGATTCACAGTCTCATTCCACAGTGATCCCTTGACTCAACTTCATTGACTCTGAAAAGCCTCAGCAGGGTGGAAAGATTACTTGAATGAGTACTGTATAGGGTTCACCCTTTGACAGCACATTCCTAATTATGGTGCTGATAAGGTAGGTAGGGAAGAACCATTTTATACTATGCCCAGAATCAGAGATTGGCTCCTAAAACAAATTTATCTTCCAAAAGAAAGGTCCTTCTCTTCCCCTGCCCTAAGTGCCTAATTTCTCTGAAATTAAGGCACTTTGCCACTCAGCTGGACAGAGACTCTTCTCTTTTTCTTCTCTAAATATTAAGGGATTGAATTGATGGTTCTTGAACACCTAGAACCACTGTGAATATCAGTGGGAGTTTTGGGTGCAAGGAAATACTGAATTGGGCCCTCCAGATGTTCTGTCAGTAAAGGCTTGGTGGGAAGGAGAGACAGACAAAGGAGCGAGAATAGGAAACTACCCTGAAATCATGAGTCTAGGTACTAGAAACACGTGCCTTATGCATACACAGCAAGGTGGGGAAAGGGAGCTACTGTGATGGGGCAATGTTCTGTTGGAGAACATGTGAGAAGGGCTCTTTCCTTGAAGATCTTTTTAAAGAAGAAATCTGAACAAATCTGAGCTCTCTTTCAGACATTTTAGCAGGATCACATTGCAAGTCTAACAAGGGCAGTGGTAATGAGGTTAAATGCAGTGCCCCCTTCCCCCAGCCCCGCTAAGACAACCAACAGAGCAAGAATAGTTTGAATTACAGCCTGAAATACAAGGAATTCAGAAATAAGTCAGAACTTCTGTCCTGACTCTTCTGCACTCAACTAGGGTCACCAGATGCCTGGAGACCCAGATTTCCCCTGTGTGATTTTAAAACTGACAGTACAACAGTGCAGGAAAAAAGACAAATAATAAGGTAAGGAGCTGAAATACTCAGTGCTGCAATAGCATCCCGGTAAAAGACAGAGTAGATAGTCTGGCCAATCCTACCAGAAGCAGGTATTCACCCTGTACAGTATCAGCTTTATAGTTCTTGCTGAGCACAGACTGTAAGAGCCAATGCAATGATTGGCATGACCTAAGTCTGTTCAGATACAGCCTAGTGAAAATTTAGAATAACTCCATTACCAAGTAAACCCAGGGGACTGAGAAAAGAACCAGGGACCAAGAAGTGTGGAGAGTAGGGGTGCACCAATAGAGAATTTTGGGGGCAACACCGATGACCGATTTTTAATGAGCTATATCAGCCAATATCGATTCAATTCTGATATGCAGCTGGGTATCTTGGAGAGCAGCATCTGGCTGGTAAGTCTGTTGTGGGGGAAGGGGCGTGGGAGGTGGGGGCAGATCAAGACCCCCGCAGTGAGAGAGGGAGTGGGACTGGGGCAGGGGCAGGTGCTGCGCAGCCAGCGAAGAGCAGGGGACAGAGCCATGAGCAGCTTGTCCAGGGGATGCAGGGGAGGGGGGAGGCGGCTCCTGCGGCTGGATGTACCCAGGGAGGGCATGGGGGGCATGTTCCCCTGGATCTGCATGCAGGGATAGGGCGGGATGCCACTGCGGACTGGGCAGCACCAAGCTCTTCCTGGTGCAGGGGGTTCGGCCAGGCTGCACTTGGGGCAGGAGGCAGCGGTGCTGGAAATGGAAATGGGGGGGGGGCTACAGCCACCCCAAAATTCATCCTAGCCCCCTCCTAGCACCACCACTGCCCACCCTGAGCACAGCCCAGCCCAACCCCCCTGCCAGAAAGAGCCCGGCACTGCCCCAGCCTCAGCCAGCAGCAGCAGCCCACCCTTGATGCATACATGCCCCGCATGCCCTCCCAGGGTGCACACAGTAGCAGGAGCTGCCCTCTCCCCCCAAGACAACCCGCTCATGACTTCATCCTGCACCCCACCCTGGCTGTACGATGCCTGCCCCTGCCCCACTCCCTCCCTTACCGCTATCTCAGTCTGCCCCCTACACTTCTTCCCTCCCCATTCCCCTTCCCTCACAACAGACTTACCAGCAGGACCCGGCTACTCTCCACACTGCCAGATTGCACTCCTGGGCGCCTGCAGGCTGTGCTGCAGCTGCGCATGCACAGGGCATTTATCAGCCACATTATCGGCAACATCAGCCAAAAAAAGCCGATTGCCAATGCAATTAATTTTCCTTACATTGGTGCCGATCCAATATGGGACCGATGTATCGGTACACCTCTAGTAGAGAGGGATGTACAGAACTACTTTTAAACTGGACAAGTAATTATTATTATTTATTACTTTTTAAAATAATCTTGGGGTACGTACACTTGCTGCACCAGAAGAATGGAATGGTGGAAGTGCACTGAGGACACTAGACATAACTCCATTGAGGACAACCAAACTGGATTTTAGCCTCTGTAGTGCCATGAACTGAATGGCATGTATGCATCATCCTTTCCCTCTTAATGGATGGAAATAGCACTAATCAACTGCGTGTCAATGCAGCTGATAGAGCCTTTACTTCAAATGGGAACTCCTGGTATAGCTAAGAACTAATATATTCTGGAACAAGTTGGAATACACTGGCTATGTGACTATAGACTGGTTATGTAACTACAGACTGGAATAGACTGGCTATACACCCACACAAAGACAGGCAATGTATGATGTCACTATACCGTACCTCAGTCACCAGGCCTCTCTTTACCCTCTGCTTACAGTGGCAGCTTCTCAAGAGAGGCCAACTTTTTTGTGAGTAATTCAGTCTTACCTGCTGCATTTTTTCCAGGTCAAGGCTGGGCCTGCTGACCTTATCCCCATATCCTTGCCGGTGTCTCTTACAAGGCATGACTTGCTCAAAACCAGCCCCAACACTTGTGAAGATCAAAGGTCTGGAGGCTGGGTTCCGAACCAAGGGCTGGAGTCTCTTAGGTGGGGAGGCACTGAACAGCACCGGGCTTGGACTAGCATGCAGGCTGTCTGCCTGTTCCACCACAGGCCGGAAAGTCATGCCACACAAGTTCTTCACTTCTTCATCACTGGAGGATGTGTTGTTGCTATCACTACAACAGGCTAGTCTGCTGACCTGTGACCACTTCCGTTTCTCAGCGGCAAACTCTCGGTTGATGCGCTCCAGTTCTTCCTCTGAGCTGTGGCGATCCAGGCTGGCATGGAAAAGGGCTCGCACCTTGCAGCACTGATTCTCCTGGTTCTGGAGCTGGTTGGTGGCTAAGGGCATCAGGTTACAATTCCGTCTTCTCTCTGACAGGAGGAGGAAAAACATGCATGGTAGGACAGAATTAAATCACCTGCTGTGCCACTGGATCTACTGTCTTCTGATCTGCTTTCCTTACTCTTCCAACTGACCTCCCTGCTCATTGCTGCAAGCATGGAAGTCCACAGAGCGTGTTTTACTGTAGGCTGGCCACTGGACATGAATCTTTCAACAACCAACTGGACAACAGCTTGCACATTATATATTTCACTTCCTGAATCTAATAAAAAGCTATGTCCCAAAGTAATATGCTGGTTTCAAATATCTGAACACATGTATGGTATTCCCTCCCAGTGACTGAGCCACAAATAGAAGTAGTGTTGATTAAAAAGAGGTATTTTGTCGTTTCAGCGGAAAAGGCTAGTGTTTTTTGGAGCTACCTGTGCACTCCCAGCCCCATGCACTATTCAGGCTGCCCAACATTTCATTCAGACTCTGTTCTTTTAATGTTATCAAATTTTAAGTATTTTGATGTGGGAGGTATGTGGCAGAGATCTGACATTTGGCAGATCTGATGCTGGTTTGGATAGGGATGATCCTGCCTCAGGCAGGGGGCTGGACAAGATGACCCATGGAGTCCCCTTCCAGCCCTACTTCTCTACAATTTCTATTAAAGGAGTAGCTTGTGTGCCTTGGACATGGCTTCTGCTGTCCTTGTGAAAATCTGCCCAAAGCTAGCCATCTCGTGACCCTTTGACAAAACCACAATTTGCACATGCTCAATGGAGACTTTGCTGGGCTCTGGCCTGAGAGTTTCCATCCACACTGAGCATGTTCCAGTTTGGGGCTGCAACTGCAAGCAGGGCCAAGAAGTGACAATAATGAATCTGCTTCTGTTGTGGTACCGATTATACCTACTGGGCCTGGGCAGCATGGTAGGTGAAACTGTCTGATTTGAAGACAGAAGGGCTAAAAGCCAGCTGCTGGGAAAAGAGAAAATTGGAACAAGGAATCTGAGGGAGAGGGATGGGAGAGCTAAGACTAGAGACTGGCAGGACAAAGGGAAAGTGGGAGATGGGATGAGGTAGAGTGGAAATTGGAACAGGACGAAGAAGAAGATTGGGAGCTGGGGCAGGAGAAAAGCAGGAAAGAGACACTGATAAAGAACAAGAAAGGAGGGCAATAGAGAAGGAGACTGGGACTGGGATAGGAAACCTGAGGCATAGAGGCAGAGTAGGCAAAAACAATGAGATTGAAACCAGGAGATACCGCTGGGACATGGACAGGGAGAAGTTGAAGGAAATAGAGTAAAAGTCAAATTAAGGCCAGGTAGAACAGAAGCTACACTCCTCATATTTCACTACACAAACAAATATCTACTATCCACAATTATCTGAGAACCCTGTGGCAAAGTGTCCCATCCCCCTCCAGTGCTGGTTCATAGAGGCCACATCTACATGAGACACTGACTGCGCAGTAACCAGAGTTACTGCGCAGTAGCATTGCCGAACAGCTTTGAGGTGACACTGACTGTGCAGTAACTTGTTATTACTGCGCAGCAGCATCACATCACGCTTTGTGCCACGCAATACTACCGCACAGTAGTGAGCTACTGCGCAGTCAGTGTCTCGTGTACACACACGTGGCCAGAGTAACAACCTCTCACTCACTCAGAAGCCTGTGTGGTAGATCTAAAGCTTCTAACACCACTGGCAACACCTACAGGTATCCATACAATGGAATTTCTGTTTATTTGGTTTTTATCTAGGAAATTACACACAGAAAAAAGACCTAAAATACTCATTGCAATGTCAAGCACTCCCAAATTAGGGCTGTATGCGCAACCTTAATTCAGCCTCTCTGTGCATATCCATGATGATCCTATTCTAGGACAATCACATCCTATTTTCTCTGCAAGACCTTTACATCTTTCACAACCCAGAATAGATGATGCTCGGAATGAACCAGAGTTGTATATCAAGGAAACTGTTGACTGTAGGATCCCTGTTTCATTTGTTGCACAAGTTGGAAGGCGAGTAGCAAATAAAACAGGAAATTGCAGCAAGCAAAAGGTTGGTCTAATGCCAAAAGCAGTCATGTGTTGCCCTGGAGAATTGTTTTGGATCCCTAGCTCAGGCACAAAGGTCCTATGGACTGTCAGGTAAAGAACACTATAGCCAAACTTTTCACAGGTGGTTGCTAACTGTGTGCTCCTCATTTCTGGGTGCCTAACACAATATTTTGGAACGTGACATGCAATGGGAGATGTGCAGTGAATATGCAAAGTGCCATTTAATGCCAGCTACTCTTAAAAAAATAGGTCTGTGGTGTCCCTAATTTGGGACCCACAATCGGTGGATACTTTTGACCTTAATCTTCCTGTGCCTCAGCTCCCCATCTTTAAAACAGAAATTAAATCATCCTTATACTTCCCTGGGGTTTTGTGAAAATAAGTCAATCCGTGTTTGTAAATTGCTAGAGCCCTGCAGAGATGAGCATGATAAAAAAGATGGTGACTAAATTACTAATTCAGTCTTCAAAGCATTATTTAAACAGTGTGCAGTAAATAAGATCTGGGGCCACACCGTGAATGATAAGGTTAAAACTGGGAAAAGCTGCTCACTTCCTGAGCACCATCCACCCTGGGCCTTGATTGAGGCAGTGTCCCTCTGGACACAATATGATGTGTTTGTATAATGGATCATAATGCATATGTTCAAAGTGGGCCAAATTAGGTCGCAGAGTTCATCTTAGTTTAGGCATTTCCTAACACTGGTGTGCTTGATTTTGCAACCTTAATAATGAAGCAGTCTGTGTGATGTATGATTCATATAATAACAGGCTTTGTTGTATGCAGCTTAGAAAGAATCAGCAAGGTCTACTAGACAGGGCCCTGGGTTGGGAATCAGGGGACTGGGTTCTCCTCCCCGCTCTGCCATTACCCTACCCTGAAACCTTCACTGACCTGAGCTTCTGGTCCCTGTCCAATATTCACCTTTCGTAGCAAAAAACTTAAACAGTTCAGCAACCTCTGCTCCCAACTGGAAACACTTGCACAATTTATCCATAGGGCCAGTCTTGTTGACTTCCTACCTCAGGGACTGGGCTGCCCCATACACAGTCCCAGAGTGTAAAAGTGATCAAAATCCGCTCAATCAGAGCATCAGGGATTGAGCCCTATTATGTACTCGTGTACATGTAGAGGGAAGTGAAGAACAATCCTGACTACTGATGCCCTTCTGAACACCTGTTTACAATCCTGGTGAATCCCCTGCAGCCATCAGGCCTCTCCTGAGCAAAGGTTGCCATGCTAAGGAGGATGCATGTGGAAATGGGAGTTGATGCAAAGTGTCCACTGGGGAGATACATAGTGGGACTGTACAACTGGTTGTGGTGTAGCTGGGATAACATGAACTAGAAGGCAGACATCTACCAACAGCAGCCGTGAACCCTCCTGCCCATCCTCTTGCTTTACCTCTGTCAATCTGAGCAAGTTCCTGGTTCTCGCCCTCAGAGTCGTCGCTGTCCTCATCACTTGGGGGATAGGAGATCTAAGGGGAAAATCAAAAGAGAAAGGCTTTGTCATTAGTATTAAATGCTTTATGCCCACTGCCCATGATGCTGCATGCAGCCATTTCTCCCGCATGTCCTGCAGCTATCCACACCACAAACCACACATGCCTGCCAGGACACCCTGACCTACATACACATCCTCTTCCCCAACCTCAGTCTCCACTCCACTCCAGCATGTACCCTGCCACCTGCACCCAACATGAACACACAGCCTACCACAACTTCCCCCCTTCCACCTCCAACTCTCCCCATATATACACACCCACACCCTGTTAGGTAACCCCTTAAAAAAAAACACACCCTGCAACCACACAAAGTCTGTCCCCACCTGTGCTCCCCTAGGGACAAGCACTTCCCCAACTCCCCCTCACAAACACAGACACGTCTCGTCACCCCCAGCCTACAAGACACCCACAAATTCACGTAGGCCATCATCTCAACTACACTATATATATGTGCCCAGATTCCTCTCATGATGACACCTGCATACATTAACAAAGCAAGTATATACTCGCCCTGTCACCCTTTATGGAAGAAGTCTGATATAATGGAATAAGGATGGTGCACATAGAATTCCACAGAAATGTAATTTACTTACCAAATCTACAGACTATAACAGAACCCTTGAATCCTTCTGCAGATTTTCTAAAACCACCCACAGAATTTGATAGACAGAGGTAATTTAAAATTTAAAATTTATCAGCATTTTATAGGACGTTTCCATATTGGAACATCCACATTGCTATGCCACCCTACACACCTCTCCTTTTCTCTAAACCCAAATACCTACTGTTACCACACCTCCTGTATCACCACATCTCCAAAAACACACAACTTGTCACTAAATAAACACTCATCTCCTGCCACCACAATCAGCACACAGTACTGGAAAATTCATCTGCTCCTGATACCTACCACATGGGGCACTAGGACAATGTCCAAATCAGTGGTTCCCAAAGGGTGTGCTGTGGCACACCAGTGAGTTGTGAGAGTAGCAAAAAAAAAGTGCATCACAAAAAGTGGGTGAGCTCAGATGCCAAGCAAACTGGCCCCACGAAGTGGGATTGGAACCCAGCTGTGCCAGCTCCATGTGGCAGGACTAGGCCGACAGACCGGATCTGGTTTGCAGACCAGTGAGTGAACTGTGCCACTATTTTTTTTCCTGGATTAAGAGTGCCCTGGTTGCAGCAGCACAGATTGCTGCAACACACTCCCCTGCATGTGGGCTTAGTTGCAGGACAAAATTATGCCACAACAGGCAAACTGTCCTTGCCCAGCTCCTCCTGGCTCTTCAGCTAGGGAGAACTGGAGGTCGGAACCAGCAGTCTTACCTGGTGGCCTGGAGCATCAGGGGCACAGGTCAGGAAGCATGAAGACCTGGCCAGCAGCCAAAGCGTTACTCTGGATAGCCCAGCTTCCACGTGTGTCAGCACACACTTGTTGTACATGCATTGTCCTGCTTTTTGTGCTGGGTTTGGGGGGTTCTTTTGTTTGTTTGGGGTTTTTTATGGTTTTTTGTTTGTTTGGGGGGGGGTAGTGTTCTACCAGAGAAATACCAGTAGCAAATTTTGCACTGCAAATGTGCAGCACAGGGCACTTTTTAATGTTTGCCACATGCAGTTTGTGGTACCACAAAGGTTTGCAGCACCATAAACTGTACACCCCTGATTACATTTGGGACTCAGACATTTCACACTGCTGAAACTTCCAGATATACTTGGATTTGGCCAACCAATGGGTCAAAACCAAAACCATCTCACCCAACCACTCTCCAGTGTTGAACATATTTAAAAATAAAAATCCAAACTTGGTGGCTAGCTCCTGTGTCTGTGATGGGCTGGAAAAGGGACCTGGATCTGATTCTGGCAGCATTTCAGGAGATGGAACACAGCTAATGCTCAGTTGGACATTACACGTCTATCTACACACCTATCACATTGTTAAATGTGTGCGTTTTCAACATATACACAGGCATTACAATAGTGGATCAAACCTAAGGTCTACCTAGTGCATTATCCTGTCCTTAGCATTGGACACCAATAGATGCTTCAAAAGAAGCTGAAAGAACTCCAAGAACCTCCACCCTTGAAGGACTACTATGGAATAACCTGACCCAAGAAGAAGGTTTTGTGGCCTCATGCAGTTAGCAGTTGCCCAGAAGAATACAATTTTATATCCCTTATGCATTTTAGTACTATTTTAAATAACTACAATAATTCCTCTTATTCATCGTTTTGGTAAATCCATTTCTGAATCCTCCTAGGCTTCTAACCATGGTTATTTTCCAATGGCAACTAGTTCTAAAGGTTAATTATGAGTTATATTTGGGAGAAAACGATATTGTTCCCTTTTAAAAGTGTTGATGTCTTAAACACCTCTTAAATTTCAAGGAGGCACAGGGAGAATACATGTTATATTAATACACAACCACCCCCACATACACCACTGCTTCCTGTGAGCTATCACCAGAATGATAGTTCACATCCCAACTGATGCATGCACACACAAGCAGAAAAGCAGGAAATGTACTTAACTGGGCCATGTATGGAAAAAATATGTGGAGTACAAAGGAATCCCAGGAGCAATAGAGAAGGCCTACAGCTAACACTGAACATGGTACAGGTGCTGTGTCGACCACGCTATTTTGCCACGTCCCATAATTTCATTTTTAAAGAGACATTGTCTTCATCCTCTACCTACTTGAAATCTGATGCCCTGGTAGAAGCAGGAAAATATTTTCCTTCTTTAATGATGTTTGCAATTTTCCATGACTTGTCACACCAAGATTGAGGGAAGGAAAAGTGGATTTTCCTTCAGTCTGAATACCACTGAAATAAATGACTGTTTGTTTTTCCACAGCAACTAAAATTATATTGTATGTATGCATGCACATGCACTATCTAATAAGGTCATTACTGAGGAGAGGTGCCAAATTAGCAGTCCTCTATTTGTAGGCTGAGCAGATACAATATGTTATTTACAGTAGAGCAGTGCCTCAAGGCCCCAAACAGAGACTGAGGCCTTATTGTACTACAGGCTGTCAAGCACATTTTAGCCTTAAACTCACTGCAGAGTTAAACCCTAATTTGAGTCCTGGCCACACACAAAAACCTCTTAACTCAGGTGTATTTTTAACTTAGGTTGACAGGCTTGTCAGGGGCTATAGGCTAAAGTCCTGTTAACACAACTCATCAGCTGCTAATGAGACTAGTTGGGGGTACAGATACAAACTAGCTCTACTTGAGTACTGCTGGCCCTCCAATGTCTTCACCCCCATTCCCACCATGTGCCCAGAAACAGCAAACAAGCTATCCCAATACTAACTGGGAACGAATATCAGAGCAGCTTATCTCCCTGAAGCACTATGAACTGTGGGCTATGCTTCTGGGAGCCCTAGGGCTACATCTAGGTGAGTGCAGCACCAGTACGGAGGCAGGACTGTGAGTGTCATTTCACCACACATTTGTCCTCACTCAAGCTCAGCTAACTCAAGAAGAGCAACTCATATAGACAGTTAATTGTGCATGAAAGGCATAGTCACTACAAGACAGTTGTTACTTCCCACGGTTTACCCGTTAAACAAAAGACGGGAGGGGAAAGGTGATGAAGAGAGAACTGATGCTCAAGGTTACATAGAAAGACAGCAGCAGAGCCAAAAACAGAAACCAAGAGTCTCAAGCCACCTAGCCAAGACCTCTCATCCCTAGTTCATGCTGCTCCCAGGCAAGGTAGAGACAGGAGCAAACCCAAGTTTCCCAGGAAGGGGTCTCGGCCCCATTTCTTTTTGCAACCTCAAGTCAATTCTTAGCATTTTTTCTCAAAGAATGACAGTGACATCTAGCACTTCTAGCACAGAAATTACACATAAACTGGTATAATTGATTGGAAACCGGTTCAAATCTGTTAAACAACAAAAGTTTAATGCACATAAACTGCTTTCAAAATGGCCAAAACCAGTTTAAGATAAACCTGGATGGATGTACTATCAGCCTTAATGAATTTAGGTTAAATTGGTTGATTGAACTTCTGTCCCAAATCCCTCCAGATTCAAATTAACTCGCAGTTCTCCAGCATCCCAGGATGCTTTGCACCTCCCCCACACCCCTCCCCCCTTAAAAGTGGGCAAGCTAAACTTGCCCCAAGCTGTTCACTCCAGCCCAGCAGGAAGGCATGCTCTAGCGCCCCCCAGCTTCTGGCCTGGGCCACTGCAGGCATGTGGCTGCATTTCTGGAATAAAAAATGAATGTCTGTTCACTTGCTTATTGGTTCAAGCTATGCATCTTAGACTGCCTGCAAAGATTGAATCAATTCAGCCATGGGCGACTGATGCCTCCTGATCCTGGGGGGGCGCTAGCGGTCAATTGCTGACTGGGGGGGGGTCCCCCAGCAGCCGATCCGGTGGCAAACATCACCTATGGATTCAGCCTCAGGTTTTTTGACTGTCTGTATTTAGCCAAGAGTGAGAATAATGATGTGAGATAATTAACAAGGATGGCTGGATGTGAACCAGTGATTTAGATTAGAAAGCCTTACACATGAGGGGTGGCCAACTTACGGTACACGTTCCACTATGAACTATGGGCTACGCTTCTGCAAGCCCTAGGGCTACATCTAGGTGAGTGCAGCACCAGTACGGAGGCAGGACTGTGAGTGTCATTTCACCACACATTTGTCCTCACATTTGTCCTCACCCAAGCTCAGCTAACTCAAGACGAGTAACTCATATAGACAGTTAATTGAGCATGAAAGCCATAGTCACTACGAGACAGTTGTTACTTCCCACGGTTTACCCGTTAAACAAAAGATGGCAGCCTCTTTGTGTGGCCCACAGTACACTGGGGAGGAGATAGGCAGCACAGTGGCAGATAGGGCAGGGATCAGGAAAAAGAGCAGCAGATTGATCAGGGAGCACAGGGTAGGGACCAGAAAGCAAAGCAGCAGATCTGAAAGGGAGCACAGGGCAGGGAGCAAAAAGGAG